AAAATTCTAATCCTAACTTAAAAAAAAAAAAACTAACAAAAAAAAGGCACCAAAAAAATTGAAAAATCGTACGTATGTTTATGAAATACCATATTTCGCTGTCTAAACCATCCGTGGATATTTCGTTGATGCACCTCGGATAAGTAACTTCATGCTTTTGTAGAAACAATTAACAAGTAATAAGCAGGATTTCATATCATAAATATAATACGCGCTATAGAAATATCCTTATAAGCCATTAAGTTTTTAGAGGGGAGGGTGGCTTGGACCGCAAAATACGGTAGATCCAATAATAAAGTGCATCGATCTAGTTAAAATGTTGATTAAATAGGAATATGCAAATAAAATATATATTATATAAAGAAACTGGCAAATTGAAATCTCATTCTTCTCAATTTGATTTTTTAACCACCATTCAAACATATAGAACGGTACTTCTAATGCTAAAAAGATGGACAAAATGTAACTAAAAATTATAACTTTAAATAAGGTAGAGATGCGATCCGTTATCTATTTTCGGCCCGAATTAAGCTTAATTTAGGCCAAAACAGATAACGGATCGCATCTCTAAAATAAGGTATGTAAAAGGCAGCAGTATGGGTGATACAAATTCCTGGAATCCTATAATTTGTACCACCCATACTGGGATCCCTCCGTGATACAAACATATGAAATAATAAACCGTAAATTTGCTTTAGAGTCAAAATTAGGGTCATTTTAGGGTTAGAAAGGGCAGAGATTATACAACGTAAAATTTTGCAAGGAATTCTTTTAAAACGTTACACCTGATCTTGTGATCTACATACAAATTTACTTTTTTTGGTTTGTATCACGCGGAAAATAAGGACGTGTCCCATACCGCAGTATTATAATAGAGTCAATCCGTACGTACGTACATACATGAGAAAATAGAATTGCAAAACCGAAAAAGCCGATATTCGGTCCAAACGCTTTTAGTGCAACTACGGGAGGAAAAGCTTTCTATCGAGTCAATCATTACCAGTTGAAAATATATTTATAGATTTATAAATAGTTTAACCGAAATATGTGAACTTTAATTCATTTAAAGCCTAATGACATAATAGGTTGGCATGATAGCGATAGGTCGGTAGTACGTACTGTACGTGCGTACGTACGTACCTAAATTCAACTTTACATGAATTTTTTTTTTAGAATCATTCAATGTAAACGTTTATTACTTGAGGTTTCGAATTAGCATCATTTCTAGGCCATCTCCTAAAAAACATTCGTTTCATTTTAAATTGCAATAGTTTGAAATATTTATTTAATTTTCTTGGTAATTTCGTATTAATCCCGTATGGGATTGCACTAAGCATATACAGATATATAATAAAATTAGTCTGAAAAATTTAATTACTTCAAATTGTAATTAGTGCAATAAATGATAATTCTACGTACGTAACTTACCATATTGTATATAGTGTTACAATATATGCACAGCAATGCATGCGTTGACTTCGGCTTGATTATTTTCTGGTAACTTTATTTATGTAACGATGAATCCCTCATGTGAACACTCGATAGTCATTATCAAAATAATGACTTTAAAAAAAGTGCTTAAGGGTTCTATAGTACGTACGTACGTACGTACGTAGTTCACTTACGGTCAATAGAGCGGCTGGTGTAGCGGTTACAATGACATTATCATATTTGTAAATTTTTGTATTTTGGTGTAAAGGTGAGAAAAACAAATTCATCCGAGTTTGAAACAATCTTTAAAATATTCAACAAAGAAATCCATAGTTCTTTATACACGTGCCCATTATTTGATTAGTGTATTGTCTTTATCCGGTTATGAAATAAAGTTGACAAGAATGAGAACGTCAAATAATTTGATACCTTTTCTTTATGATAAGCATTTTGTTACGCATATTATTGGTTTTATTGAAACACTCCTAGTTTCGAAAATTTAAAGTTACGAAGAAATTAATTTAGAATTAGTATTAGCGTTAGGATCTTCTAATTATCAACATAATCAACATAATAGATAATATATATCTTAAAACGGCCACTCTAAGTATATCGATTTAAAATTAACATCTACGTACCAAACCTGCTGCAAACCTGTATCTGCTCCATAAATTTTCATGCGGTTTTTTTTTAATTCCATATATTCTCCATATACGTACGTACATACCTTATCTCAAGGATCTCCCCCAAACTCGGCAAGTGGTGACACAAAAATGGGGAAATACATCAAAATAATTTCTACTATATTTATCGTTCTGGGATCCAATATACACTTAAAAAAAACGTATAAAAGACTGGAAATTTCTTGAATATATTTTACTAGAATGCAACCTAAAAAATCTTTTATTTGGTATTAATTAATAAAAAAAATATATATATTTTTTCCTGTATGTATAATACATTGTACTATTGTTGTTTTGTAGTCTTACATTGCGTAATCATAAGTTTTCTATACCCTATTTTTTTCCTACCTCGATCAGTAAAGAAAAGCAGAATTAACTGAAAAATTTCGAGTATGCCTGAATAAATTTGAAATTTCTCAGTCATTTCATTATCGCATCACTAAAATTGCTTTATTTCATCAATTAATCCATTAATTCAATAGATCATTATATTTTCTTAAAAGTGCTGGCATTATAAAAAGATCTCTCAAGATATGACTTCTACATCTTCGAAATCGAATTCAATAATTAAAAACAGATTATTTGATAAAAGGAATGGTGATAAACACAATTTGTCAGACTCTCGTAATAGTCGTCCCGATCCGCTTAAACCTCGTCAAAATCTTTTAAAAGTACCAACTCCTTCACCTACCCCAAAATCTCCTTGTTTTGTTCATTCCGATATCGATCCATCACTTTCAAAACCTTTATTAGAAATGATAAATCAATTTGATAATGGTGTCACTCAATATTCAAATTTGGCCGAAACCGCCGTTAGTGTCAGAGAAATATCAAAAAAACTTGGTAAATTTCAAATTTATAATATTATTAATTATCTAAATTAATTACCTAAATTAATTACCTAAATTAATTATCTAAATTAGTTATCTAAATTATGATTATATGAATTAATCCCATTTATGATTGTTTTATTATTATTGATATTTTTATTAGGAAAAGCTCGCATTCAAAGCGTAATGCAAGCTATCATGATTGTCACTAAACCCGGTGATGTTCGTTTAATAAATATCACTCGCGAATTAGCTATGTATTTAATTACCACTCCTCGCTTTGGAAAAGATCATGGCGTGACTGTATATGTAGATAAAAGTTTAAAAGACTTAAAGCGCTTTGATTTTCCTGGCATGTTAAATGAATCTCCTTTTGTGAAGGACTATTTAAAATTCTGGACCAAAGAATTATGTGCTGAAAGGCCTGAAATATTTAATTTTGTTCTAACGGTAATTTTTTACTATAATTTATTATTATAATTTATATAATTAATTATAATTTATTATTACTTTAATCTTCTCAACTTATTATT